GACAGAAGCAACTCTTGAAGATTAAAATTGTTCTCTGACCTCCAGGTGCATGCCTGGGTACACACACTAATAATAATAATAATAAGTAAAGTAGGGAGAAAATAGAAGACACCCAACATGACTTCTAGTTTCCACATGAGTACCTGGGGGTAAACTAAAAGGGAAGGAAGTAAATGTTTTCTTTTAAGATTAACAATGGAAATAATGTAGACGGAGATGACCGAGAAATTACCATTTGTAACTGGTTTAGTAATAATTCACTGACTTAGTTGAGAAGCATCAATGAAATAAAGTTAAAAAGAAACATCAATAAATATTAAAACTCCATGTTTTAGCAACAAGTATGATAAGGATTAAGATATTTACACACCTTCATGGAGAACTTCCTCCTAAATTACACCTTAATTATAAAGGGAAGAAGAGTAACTTTACAGTGATCAGGCTTAGGAAGATTAATCTTAAGTCTTCAAAGAACATCACAATAGGTCAAATTTCTGAAGTGTTCTTGCCAAACACACACAACTTGAACCTAAAATATGAAAAAATACCAAATAAACCTTAATCTGCAATCATTCTAATTCTAATCTATGTTCTTTAAAACTGTTAAGGTCAAGAAAAGAAAGACTAAGAAATAATGCCAAAAATGCCAAATTAAAAGGAGACTGAAGAGACTTACGACTAAATGCACTATGGTCATAGGGTGGGTGGGCTCTGGGACCAGACAAAACACTGAGACAACTGGCAAACATGAGTACGAGATGTGGACTGGATCAGTACCACACCAGCACCCACAATTCCTAACTATGTCATCATGATTGTGGTTATCAAAAATGCTCTCATTAGAAGAAAGTCATATTGAAGTACTTGTAAATAAAATGTTATGATAAAAAAATGTCTGCTGTAAATGTCCTGGGGTAAACAAAATCCTTTGTTTGAAAGTTTACCACTAGAACTGATGGTCTATTGTCCTCTGGGCAATGGCATGGCCATTGCCCCCTCCTGAACTCTCAGTCGCTCTGACTGCATGCGTTACAATCTGCAAGCTTGGACCCATTAATTTTTGCCACAGAGTAGGTAAGGATCACAAGAGCCTCCCCATCCCCATGCAGGCAATTAAGTGGTGCTACGAGATTTCTTTAGTGGTGTGGCTGCTGCTAAGTTACTCATGTTCCTATAAGAATCCTCTATCCTCCCCCTAACTAAACTCATTGGTTAGCCTTCAATAAAACTGTTTCACTGGTGTGTTGTTCCTGCCCCACCTGGGGTGCACAGATGTTTATCCCCACAGGAAAAGTTCACAACACTACTTTTATAAACATTCAAAACCAGAAGATCGGGGGACTACTCAAACACTGATTGCTAGTTCTTGAATGAGACAGGTACCCCAAATATAAGTCCCTTTCCTTTCTATATTCCTCACCCTTATAAGTGAAATCAGGGCCTCTCTCCTCTGTCCTGTGGCTTCTGGGGCACTGAAGATTTATGCTTGGTTGCCATGGCTTGGAGCTTGAGTACTTGGAGGTTCTGGTGCAGATTCTGAAGATACAACTTCCTCCCAGAGTACCCTGTGTCCATGTGTATGAGTTGAGACCTAGAAACAAGGGGACCAGTGAGTTACAAAGAATTCCTTTGAGAAATGAAGTGATCGGCTAGCAGCAGAGCCAACAGGCCTTCGATGGGTGTTCAGATTTGGGGAAAGCAAGCCGTATAATCTCATTTCCTTCCTAGGGCAACAAGAAACACTACATTAGAACAAAAAGAAGGGATTTGTTCCGCTCAGTACTAAAGAAAAGACTTCTGTTGATGTTTTTCTACTGCATCAAACACCAATATTTGTGCTCCAACTCTAGGACAGAGAACGAGTAACAGAAAACTAAAACAGGGTCATAGAATACCAAAATACTCTTTTGACAAGGAACTTGGAAGCCTATATTCTAGTAAACAGTCATCTTTAATTATCCAGGCAAGGCAAGCAGACACAGAAAAGAGTCTAGTAAGCTGGGCTTTACTTGTTTTTGTGCTAAGCATGCTCCCCTCCCCCTCCCAAACGCACCTAGCACCTGTTGGCAGTCTAGAACTCACAACCACATTAAGCTGTACTCATTCATACCTTACTCTGAGCAATGGAATAAATTTCCTGTCCTCCTTAACAACCATGAAACCCGGACAGCTTGTACCCAGTCACACTCCAGTTATATCTGGTAAGGAAGGTAGGGGGCCAAGCAGACCTAGGCTGATGTTGGGTACATGGAGCAATAAGGCAAACTGTGTCCTTTGAGAAAAGCAAAGACCCATCCCCATCATGCCTGTTAGCAAACAAACTTTTTCCTCTCAAACTTCATAAAAAGAAGCCCCAAATAACTGGGGCCCTTAAGTACTCTCACTCAAGTGGCCTGTCACTCTTGACTGTATTTCCTCCTTTGTACTATTGTTCTGTCATTGAATAAAGTTTTCATGCTCCTTGTACAATTTGTGTGGTCTTTAGTTTAATTTCTTGAAT